GGCTAGAAATGAGACAAAACATTCCAAAAAGCTCTTTGGTTTTTTATGAAATCAGCAAGGGTTTCCCTTTTCTGAATATGGCACCGTTCGAACTGGAACGTCATCATTGTCATTGTATCTCAATCGGTTCTTTGAAAATGTGTTTTGTCGGTAGTGCGATTCGAGTTAAAATTCGTTTACTTTCGATCCTGTTTGTGAAAAACTAAAATTGAAATTGTGTGTGTACACACGGCAAGTACACTCCTCACACACTGAACAAACACATCATATGAAATCTGCGGGCTCAATTGTGGTGGTGTATTGTGAATTGCCAGCGCCATGTTGTTTGGTCGTAAGTATATATAAAATAAAACGCTATCCGGTTTAAATAATACCAGCCGAGGGTCGAACACGGATTTCGAGAGGAATGTCAACGTTTCCACGAGTCCGGGATTAATATCAAAACGATTATAATATTATAATAACGGTAAACCGACGAAAACTCATCCCGTTGTAGTATTAATGTGTAACAACAGCTTAATACAGTACCGGATTAAAAGAGGAACGCCGAAGGGCGCTGGGGTGGGTAAAGAATAATCTTTATTTGTTTGCCATTTACAATTTTGTTTTCAATTGATAATATCATTAATTTACAAGCATTAAGTTATTACTGTATTCACTCTGTATGTATCATTGGTTTCCATCGTTAAAGAAATACTATAGGCGTTTTTAACATACTTATAATAGCGCTTTAAGTTGTACGTACAATAGCTGATAGCAAGTGAGTTTGTTTATCGCCGTAGTTACCTAATTGATACCAAAAACTTAGTTAAAAAAAAAAGAATTTAATTCCATTGGTCCACCACGTGACGCGCTATTCAAAGCAAAGGCACTTTCCTTTTAAGTCAACCCTAGTGTAATGTAACTAACCTGAACAATGTTGGACCTTAGAACTGAATAGGCTGTAAGTAGGCGCTAGAGTGATTTGATGCATCAAAAGCAATAAAAACAATGGTATATTATATTATTATACATGAGACATGACATGAAAGATTAGAGTAAAGGTATAGAGTAAAGGTAAGAGTCGGAGACAAACCAAATAAGTGGTAATGTCATTAAAAAAAGAATGGACGTGTATGGAGCGAATAGAAGGACACAACAAAATTATTATTTCGATGAAAAAGGCGATAAGTTTTTTTTTTAGAACTAGAACTTGTAGATAGAATATTTCATGACGCGATGGCGCAATTTCTTTTACTTATACATTGACTTAAGTGCGCAATTTTGTGATTGACAATCGATAAAGGTCTTTAACCTCTTTTGCCTCCGGAGTTCTGATAAGCAAAACGCTCAAAATCAAACAACTTAATGGTTCTTTTATGCGGTACGTTGCAAGGTACATGTATAGTTACAGATTCTTTCATTCTCGGGGACCGACAAGTGTAATAGGGTGCGGTGGACCGAACTAAACGGTCACGTTGTATCAAACGTTAAATCAAACTGTTAAACCGCGCAATTTGTGGCGTTTGGAGTAAACTCAATATGCTACACACCGGTACAGTGCTATAGGGTAGTACGGCTGGTAGCCCGTACCCAAGTATGGCTTGGTAGAATCGACTCCGACGATGACATTGAGCGATTGGATATTCTAATAAGACCACCGCGTCCCACGCGCACAATGATATTGCTGGTATTCGTTATATTAGTATTGATTGTGCGATTTACAGACGCCTGCGATGTGCTATTCCAAACACGCAGACGATGGGAATAAAAAAAAGCCATCTCTTGTCGACTACCACCGCCGCATTGGAATACATTGATTTCGGACTGGAAAAAATGTCCTGAACGATTTCGAAAGCATCCGGCGACTTAGCAGGACGGTCTGTTGATTCACACGACAAAGTGATGGTCCAATAACATAATCTTATTCGTTGACCAGCCTTTGTGTGGTTATGCAATAGTGCTGACTAGGCAGAGTCAAATAGTTATAGAAGAATAAAAATTGCCCGCTCCATCCAATACAATGTGTAGCCGACAACAGACGATTCGTTTACAATTTGATTAAGATAAAAAAAAAGTTTGTTTTCTTATTTTCGAGTAACGCATTTTTCATCGTCATCGAGTTATTAGTTTTCCATGGTCATTTAAAATTCACCGTCAAATCAACTCGTTCTACAACTGAAGTCACGATGAGAGAAGTAATACAGTTTTCAAAGTAGCAGTTTGCGTGACACCGTCAAAATGTAGGACGTGTTAAGTTTTGCACGAGACCGTGTCGCCCGCGAGAGCCGATGAAAAGGATAGAAGATAATTCAATAAATAGGCTGACACGGTATGTTTCACTCGACATTGGAACTCGATGAGTAGTTTGCAAATCTTTTTTTTTTTTAATATTAAATAGGTCGTCGATAAAAAAAAAAAAAGCCCATGGCATTAGCTTTACAGCGTGTAATTTATGCAAGTGGGTTAAGTATGTAATAATCATTATTAAAATACAACAAGTTAGCACTTTTACAACCGCGAATTGCTAGGATGACAAAAAGTCTTCGAGTCTTGCGATAATTTCGGAATACTTCATATGGAAATACACAGAGCTAGTTTGCGAACACAATATTTATAGTTCATATTTTGTGAAATTTATTACACTGGCAAAACTTTGTTTGAACGCCAACGAAAAACTATAAAATTACATTTGAATATATACGACCAAAAAGCCGTATTGCGCACTCATAAATATACGAAACTGCGACTTACGCTACAGCTCAAATACATAAGCCCCCCCCCCCTCAAAAAAAATATATAATGATAAATAAACTCGACGCCATTATAATATTACGTTTTATCCGAATCAAATGTGGAGTGGACAACAGCTATACTTACTTACTTATTTACCAAATGTATTCAATATGGACTTGTATATTAGTTCATATTAAAAAAGAAAAAATTACTTTGATCATAGATTTATTGAACTGGATCTGCATGGTTACTAAATGATAACTTAAATAAAACTACTGTATATAACGCTGTTGGATCACAACAGCATTAAATGATCCATCGGTTTAACAATTATACATGTAAAAAATCATTTTTACCAGGTATGTCTATTTAAAATAATTAAAAAAGCTTTTGGATAACGGTTATACGTTATAGAAAATAGAGAAAAACCAACCACGTCGTTCCAATTCAAAATTATACAGTGACATTGTATTTTGCACTTTTCAAATTAAACCTTTATCTACCAAACGTAACCTACTCGATTCACAAAAATGTAAAGACAAATTCAAGCCGTCAGTTCGTTCTCGGTGCTTATCAAAGTTTCGATGAATTTCACTTGTTACCTGTAAGAAGTCACAAAGCCACAAAGCAAGATTTTTGAAAAAAAAACTTTACTGGGAAAAACCACTGATAATCCAAGAACAAAAAAAGTATTGTAAGTAGACACAGATTCAAAGTTTTGTTTCGAAAATGATTTTGCTTAAAACATTTTTTATTAAAATCCATATTTATATTGAATCTCTGCGAAGCGTTTATTTGGGGATGGCTCGAAAAATGTTATAATACTTCCCTCGGTAGTCGGTGTGCCCTCCAATTTTCTCTTCTACCTGCTGTGTATCTTTATTTTTTTTTATGTCCACTTAGCGTTGATAAGAGATTTATAAAGAACATATTAATAACACGGTTACCATAGTGACGTTGATACGGGATACGCTGAAGCCTCGAATACACCTTTTTAATAAAATGATAATCCAGTCGCAGGACCTTCACTGCTCTATATTATATAGGGATCGCCGAGAGAAATTCGTCCTCGCTAAGAGATTAGTTTGACAATAAAAGGGATTTTTATCTTGAAATAGTTCACCTTTAAAATTGTTGATATTACAGACCGGATCTACATTTTTAACGTAGGTAATTATTGTGCACGTTGCGCTTACAACGGAAGTTCGTTGGCAATTATGCAGTGTTTTTTTTTTGTCTGTCTGTTTAATGTTTAAAAGGAAATTTAAAAAAGTAACAGCCCCCAAGTGTTTTGTATTAAAGCGGTCGGGATTTTCGCAAATTAACTGAAATTACGAGACGTTCCGCCGTTCCCTTGTTGTGCCGTCGCCAGTTTTAATATCCGGGACGAAACGTCTCGCTGGACGCTCACCTAATATGTACACCACGACCTTAAGTAAAAAATCGATGGACACGGGAAAAGTGTGAAAGCTCGAGGCCGCGTTAAAATTGCCGACGTAAAGCTACATAATGAAAACGAGGCGTGAACAAAATTTCAGGCCACAAACAAGCACTGCTCTGGCAATTTGTCCGAAAGGTCAGCGGAGATTATACTGTTCTGTAAACACAACTATAGTGTTTGTCGATACCCAACCGTCCGCTCAGGGACCCGGGAGATTATCCCGGCGAATAAGCGATCTTAAGGGAATATATTATTTCCCCTCGATCGTCCAACGCTAAAATGTTGTACTTTTCCAAAAAGCTTTTCGCTCGCGTCCACCTTGCTTGCAACGATTCTCAGTTTGCACAAAGTCCTAGTGTCTTAGTGTTGTTGGACAACACTAGGTATGCGCTCGCTCTAGTGACAACCGGGTTTGTTGGGCGAAATTCAATTAAAAAGCGAAAACGAATTCAAAAAGCAAACCGAATTACATATATACATACACATAAAACAGTATTTTTAGTACTACGGGTAGGATACGATTTTGGTCGACAGTCTTCTAGGTATAATAATTTGCAACAACAATACAATGCAAATGTTTTCCCGTATAACCGTTGGCTTTAGGTCAAAGGGGAGTTTTCCCGTTTTTCGGGCTTCCTTAATATGAAAACAGTTGGATACAACTTTTGAGAAAACTGTTTCGCATTTATTCGAACAAACCTCATTAATAATATAATTGTATTCGAATGAAAAAACCCAAGTTGAGTTATATCTTTACTATTAACGTTCTTCCTAAGAATAATATGGCTGTTTCGTATGGACTAACCTGACAAACATTAACTTTAATTAAAAAAAACCAACTCACTAGTGACTGTCAACTTGATGACGACGTTATGACCTCTCCTCCTGTCCGTGCAAGTGTAATTTCCTTCGTCTTCTTCCATAACCCGTTCGAAAACCAACAGCAAACCGGTCTGGTTGTTCGGCATGTTCAAGTCTTGCGAATGTACTCTGTTTATAAAAAAAAAATAAACTTTAATAATTATCATTTACTAACCTACTGCGTTTTTACTCCGTGTTCATTCCGCGTAAAACCAACTCAATAATTGTGTGTTCATAATTCAAAATTATCCAAAACTTTGCATGTTTACGTCATATCAGTGATAAGTAGTATAATTGCACAATTTTGGCTCTCTAAGTGCATTATGCATTTTTTATTAGTCGACATTGTGACTAATGATGATTGACAGTAAAACTATCTGCACATTATTCTTCAGCTATTCTGAGTTCGTTTAGCGTTAATATAATTATTTATAAAAGAAAATAAAGATACTTTTGAAGTGTTGCACTTGACAAGTCTACTAAAAATGAAGAATAATATACCAACTGCCAGACGGGTAATCAGGAAGTTTACTTAATTAAAAAATTATTTCCGCTATCCAATTGATTTGTTTATATAAATTGAATTTTATACTATATCTTTTTTTTATTCTCGTTTAAAATGTATTACTAAAGTATCCCGCGACAAGCATGGGGGAAATATATTATATTTACATATTTTTCAATTCACCATACACAGTTTTTAAATGGAATATATATATATATGTATATATTATTATTAACAAATGTTTATCACCCTCGTAAAGTTCGTTTAAATTACATTATCGTTGGTTAGTAATAATATTGTCCAAAGAAAATCGTGTTAATGCGAATTTAATTTTAACAGCGTTTAGCTGTTCTGTATTTTGTATTTTACGGTTCGTGTCATAATTGCAAAGTTATTGGACTTTCAAAATTACACTGTGCATTTCTCCGGGGATAGTGCTGTCACAGTTCACATGCCGTACAACTTTGTTGTATAAAACAACCGTTTGCGCCCAAAGCAATGTAATAATTTGTTGAAAACCGCCATTTTCATTTATTTTATACTGTATACAAACCATAAATTATAAGATTATAATATCTGTACCGGCTTTTTTATGCATTTTGTTAATAATATTATCAATATGTATATTATAAATATTAATTATTACCTATGTATATAGAAAATACTTTGTAAAAATAATTTCAAGAAATTTAAATTTATTTATTTTTGTTTTCTGATGTAATTATATGTAGATCACTAATTGCGGAAAGAGGCTATGTTCATAAAGTCAAATATTTTACAAGCGGTGCAAAAAACATTGTAACCAACACGGGTAAGGAGCTTAAAAGTCAGTTGTAAAAGCGAATGAATGACCTTGTAAAAAAATGTTTTGAATTAGTGGATATGACCATTATTGGCACTTAACAATTTTAATTACACAAAACTCTAACTTCATATTTCTATTGTGGTTTGATGGGCGGCTAGTGTCATTTTGTACACAGGACATGCTGCGCTCAAGGGGGAGTAGTAGAAATCCGGCGATAAATCAATTTCCTTTAGAGAAAATCGGACTTCTCTCTGAAATTAGTGGTTCAAGCTATATGATGTTATAACAGTCTTACCTGAACTGAGGGCTGTGCGATATCGGACCCTTAGGTCCGCGCCAATTAAATTCGCTGGGGCTCGGACCGTAGCACGTCACCCCGTACTTGGACAACACTTCTCGTACAGGTTCCATGTCGTTGGGCGTGATATGAATGTGCTGCGAAGCCACGTACTCCGCTGCCACAAGTGCTGCAAAACCAAGAAAACACGGCGATATAAATTTTTCTGGGAAGGACCAAAAAGAAATAACTTTTGATTGAATTATCACAAGTGCGTGCGCCGTCTGGCTTATATACATATAGATATATACGTGTATTTGTGTAGGAGAAACGGCAAAGAAAAAAATACTGAGAGAAGCAATCCAAATGTCTTCGTAAAATTACACGGGCCGATAGACAGCTCCATTAGCGTACAACTCGGTTTTCGAAAACAATAAATATTCGTTTCCTGACTTGCAATCCATCTGAAAACGTTTTTAAACGCATAAACCGTCGTCTGCGGTGTATGCAATTATCTGTATTGAAATACTTATAAATATTATGTTATCTGAATAGTTAATAGTTATTGAATTTGGTTAACTTTGAAAACAAACGTGTAATTCGTTCAATAGACGGGTCAAAAATTGCACAAACTATGCAGAACACGTTGTATCAACACGCACAATAATTAATCTATTATAAAGCTCATAAATTACTAGCCATTGGCCTTCAAATAGACTAACATATTTACAATGTCTCCCGGGAATGTGAGATATAACCGATGTCCTTAAAACTATTTTTTTTTAGTAAAACGAACTCGACGAAACTTATAATGAAAAAATATACCTAGTTGTGGAGTTATAAGATATTTTATTTGCATGTAATAATTTTTTAAAAAAACAACATTCTCTTGAAATACCGACAACCATTTTTGTCGTTGTTCAAAGCCCGAATAGTAATTATTTTTAAATTAGCCTTCGACCATTAAAATGTTTTATCCATTACAATAGTGTGGTCGTTTCAACAGTTGTATATTAATGGAGGAGTTCCATTTTATCATCAAAAGTTGGGCTATAAATTATGACTTTAAAAATAATGCAATAATCATATTATCCAATTGACATCGTCCAATAACAATTATTCTAGAGTATTTTTTCGTTGTAGAGTGGTTGAAAATGAAAGTTCAATTTTGTTTAATTTAAACAACACTGTAAAATATGTTGTTGGTGTTTTAATATTCTGTAGCTGCTGTTAAAACGACATCCAACACGGTGGCATCGGTCAGGTCAGGAAATAATAGAATGAAAAAAAAAACAATATGCTCGTTGTCCGTTGTGTTCTCCATATGGGCGAATCATATGTATAATGTGATACCTATCCGAAAAAGTAGCGGTGTAACCTTTTTCGGGGATGGTCTTTGAATATTTCAACGATTCAATTGTAATGTTTGTCATCTCGAATTGGATTTTGTCCGACAACAGCTGGGCGAAAATGACCGCTGCCGTCCATGTTGCTTTACCCGGAAAATGGTTCAAGTGAAAATAACGGATGCCTTCGAAATGTACATAATAATATGTATACATACCGCAGTATTTTTTTTTTATTTGAGACGCCTAACACAATACATATACGGGATTGATTTGGCATATCCACATATTATATATTATATAGTCTACACAGATAACAGACTGTAGATTGCTGATTGGTACATCATTAATCTGAAGTAGAGAGAATCTAAATACTCTTAAAACTTCCTCAGAATTTTAGATAAAATTAAAAACTTGTCGTCAGTACTATGATTGCCGACATTCTTAGAAAGTGTGAAGAATTTAAAAAAATTCTAACTGTCCTAGACCGCCTTTAGATGTGCAAATGTCGAATCCATGTTTTAAAAATTAAAAATGTCACTTGTTGTAATCACTTATTCATTTTTCAACTAAACAGCTGTGCTTATTTTAAGGATGTAATTTTGTTTTGTAATTTCGTTGGACTATCAGTTTTACAATAAACAATATGACAGAAGGACAAAATACATTTAACAATTAAAAAATGTTTTTTCAGTTTAGTATCCATCCCAAAGACAAACCAAAAATATAATATAAATATTTGTATTTCTAACATTATTTCGGGTTGTAACTTATAACCGTTTACTAGCTCTAAGTCTTTTATTATTAAGTTCGTATGGCCAAGTTAGAGAAACCGTCTTTTGACATGTGATTGTATAGTCTATTTCTTAAAACCATATTTGGTTGAACCTAACTCCATTTATTCGCACCTATGATAGTAACCGAAAAAACAACATATCCAGGGAAAAGTTACATGTGTGTACTAAGTTCCAATGCCGAGTTAGAAACAAACAATAAAATGATTGACCCATCCGGACGTTTGGTGAATAAATTATTATTTTTAGAAAATGTAATTAAAAAGAAAATAAGCGATTTTAAAGCGACCTTTAAGTAATAGGCCCACGTCATATTACAGAGGTTGGTTTGTATGCACTTGCCGAGTTCAATGTCACGTGTCGTGTGGCGGGTCAAGACTTATCAGAGCCCCCAGGGACGTATGTGGACATGTACAGACAAATGTCTTTCGTTGGATCGTTTACAGGGATACCCCGTCTACCGTTCATTCTATTCGCCGTTATTCCCGTAGGAGTAAATGGCAGAGCGCCAAATTATGCGACCCACGTTGAAGACACTGCCTAATATACACGTGTATATTGTATAATACGTACATTCATATTACGCATACAGTGTACAAAAGGGTAGCCGGTGTGAATATGGGCCAATAGGGGCGGCAACCGCTGTTAAATTTATGTCGAGGCGAACCGTCGAAAATGGGATACTAATATTGTTTTTTACCCGGTCGCATACAGAGTTGGCCGTTAATTGGGAATACATTTATTTTATTCTACTAAATATGTGATCGAACGAAATGTTATCTTTCCACATTTCAGTCACCTTACCAGATTTGTTTCAGTTGCTATTCGTTATTTAATTGCATTCGTCCAGTAAATCAGGCTTACGACCGGTGTGTTATACAGGTTTAATATAGTTTACCTCGTTTGTATAAGAGATTTATACATTCATAAAGGTTTATTAAAAATTCCAAGCAGTCCGCGCAGCCAACCCGTTGAATGCTAATGAAACGGTAAAATTCAACAAGTTGTTTTAAATATGGGTTTTCTCGAAGCGAATTTGATGTAAGCCGCCAGTTCACGTTTTACTTGAAATCAAAATATGAGAATTCTCGTTCCCAAAGGAATGTTTCAATTATTATGATACAATTTTCGGAGAAACGTTCTTTTCTTATATGCGGCCGTCCGAGTTCCAACGGCTGACAACACTTTGTACGACGACACACGCGTTATCTTCATAAAACAAGTGAAATTACATTGTGCCAACGAAACGGATGGAAAGAAATGACAAGATGACAAAATATATGTTATTATTTCATAACGTCGTCGATTCGAAGTTTTTGATCGGTTATAATATTTTCTCATGTCGAAGAATCTATCAATAACAACGTTTTTCCCCTTTTTGCGGTTAATGGATATTAATAACAAACGTTATTGTCATCATTATTAATTTTCCTTTTTTTTTCCGGTCTCCAGCCGTTCTGTCGTTTCGCCGCCTGTTCTTCGAGGCCCGGACTCCTCGCGTGCTGCTAAATTGCATACACAAAGCGCCGTCCGTTGTATTGATATTGTAGAACTAAGGCCGGCACCGAGGTAGGTACCATGTGCGGGTAAACGATTGCCAAGCATCAGTCCGTGCCACGAGCCCACACACACACACACACGGTGTTTGTTTCCATACATATTATGTAACCTTGGCTGACCGATCGACAGAGAGAGAGAGATGTAAGATATTTTTATCAAACTCGATATTCCGTTTGTTGGTTTAATTATTGTTATCGTATAAAACACAAATGGTGGATGTAAACATACATGCGCAGACCATGAAGCTGTGCAATAGTATAAAAAGGAAATGACTTTTTCTACCGGCGTCCATGACAAAAGTTCCAACATACACACACTGACGACGGTTCAAAAATATATTATGGTAAATTTCTAGAGTCTACTAGGAAAATGAGAAACAGAGAGAGAGAGAGAGACGGTCTTTTGATGGCCGCACTACAACAGTATGTTCAGGACTCTGACTTCACTGAACACGCCATTACAAACACTTAATCGGATGTGAACATGTAAACAAGTTCTAATAGTTCTAGAGAAAAATACTGGTTTCGAAGTAACCATTAGTGGGGTAAGCATACTTAAAAACATGTCAACTGTAAGCGTTAAACGTTCATTTTTTAGAATAATTTATATTTTAATGATCATCTTTTACATAGGTATACTATCGCAAATTGTAATCTTTAATTGCAATACCAAGTAATCATCAAACGCTAAAGGTATTAATATACAAGGTAATTCATTAAGGACAAGCCATTCATTTTGGCTTAAAATAATTGCAATTAATTGTAGTTTTAGCATGAAACATGCGTTAGCCTTGGTCATCAGAAAACCACACTAAATAGCGACCCTAATTAACGACATTTAATTACGATACTTAAGTAGTACGCCTACCTTAAACGTATAATAGCATATAAGATACCATCAAAATAATAACGAGTCGTCGTCGTCATGCATATATCGTGGTTCATTACATACAATTTTAATAAATGTTGTCAGTGAATCGATTAAGGCCAGATATTATAAAACTACTAAAAAACGTTTAAGGCCAAAGCATATAATTAAGACAATACTACCACAATAAATCACAAGGAGTTTATAGATCAGAAATAATTACTATTGAGGTGCCAATAGGCTAAAGCAGGTCCCATGTTTTATAATTTTAGCCAACAGGCTTAAGTAGACTGTAATTTTTTTTTTTTAAGACACTTAAGTTTTTTTTTCAGAGCTCTATTATCTTTTAAAACTTAAATGGTAACGTATATTAAATTCAATTAACGTTTTAAATTAAGAATAATTTTTTGAAAATTTTGACTGCTCGATAACTAGTTTTGAATAATATCATTAAAAGTTATTAAAATTAAAAATTTAGGGCGAGAGGTGAAATGCAATAGAGTATAATAGGCACTTATTTAAAAATTATATTACACTTACTTAATACAACCTTCCTCTGATCCTTAATTTGATCCTTAACATTAAAAGTAATTATCCAAAACTGGTTGTCGATGAGTCAACAT